AGGTCTTCCTTTGGTAGTAGCTGTCGTACCTCTGCGCATCCTGGAAGGGGAGCTGGTACCGCCGCAGGAGGGGCTGCTGTTCCTCCACGCGGAAGCTGATGGGGGCCGCCGGCGGCAGGGAGACGGCATGCGCCGAGTTGGGGGAGGTGATCTCGAAGGTGGGCACCTGCGCGGCCATTGAGTAGTGGAAGTCAACAGGTGACAGGCGTGCTGGTGTGGTAAGGGCCGACACGTACCTGAAAGAAGCAACACTTCTGTTTGGACACCGAACCACCCCAAAAACTCCAGCTGCACCTGCGTTCTGCCCAACACCTGGCACAGGGACCCATGAAGCCTCCAGCACACCTGGTCCTGGAGCTTGGCACCTCTTGGGTAACCAGGCAGAGGGACCTTGTGCCACTGTGCTGAGGGAGGATGAGCTGCTGGCTTTGGTGGGCGCATGGGCACCTCGTACCATGCATCCCAGCACTGCCTCTCCCAAGGGTCTTGATGTGCAATTCCCACCCTGCATCTCTGCAAACCTTGCAGCACCTCCCAGCAGGCTGAGCAAAGACTTCCCTGCCTCTTGTCTGCCTGCCAGATGCTCTCTGTTCCCTCTGCAGCTGCCAGGCTTGTCTCTGAAGAGGTCCCCAAAATGCCCTCCCTCTGCTCAGGTCACAGATGGGGAAATCCTGAGCGTTGCTTCCTCTGACTTCACAAAATTCTTGTGTCTCAAAAAGGCATCTACCACTTTCATCTACTCTAGTGACAACATCAGTGTGGCAACTCAGGTCTGGTCTAGCCCCTCTCCAAACAGCCCTTCCTGCGGCATTGCCTCTTGCTAAGGAGCAGATTTCATTTCCTCTCGATAGTGCCAGCTGGTGTCTCTGCTCACTTCAGGCTGCCCAGGCTCCCTGGCACCTCCTGTGCCTTTTTACCCATGTGTCTTGTGAAGTACGAGACATCTGTATGAGCTGGGTCAGCCTGCCGGAATGGACCGGGGACAGGAATGAGTGAGCGGGAGATACTGCCTCTCTTCTCTGCCCCATGAACAAGTCCCCCTGCCTTGAACGGTAACTGCCCTTAAGCGGCCATGTGGCCAGCCAGGGCCGCCCACGGCTACCCGCAAAGGGCTGGAGCAAGGGTGGAGATGTGCTTCTGCACCATGAGGAACCAGACTGAGGAAGAGGATCACTGTTGCTGCCTCTCACTGGCTGATGGTGTCTCAGCTCTGCAGTTGTGTTCCCGGAAGGCTGGGTCATACAGAGCCCTGTCCCCAGGCTGTGCCCATGTACAGCACCCCTGCTCGCCAGGCCATCCAGGACTACACTGAGGATGTACTTCTTCTCCCCATATACCTCAGGGGCCAGATCCTGCCTGAGCTGCCAGCCCACCAAACTGCCTGGGGTGTGCTCTCAGCCACTTTTTCTTCACCAGCTGCTGACTGCAGCCAGGTATTTTCCACTCCTCTCATCCCTGTGCTCCAAACCTACATCGCCAAGGTGAACAGGGAGCAGTGCTTGCTGCTGCCCGTACCAGGGTGGCCTCCTAGGGTAGTGGCTTCCTCTGGTAGGACCAGAGCTGGAGTTTCTCCAGTGTTACCACAGGACTGCTGCTCTAGGGCTGGGCACAGGCAAACATTTTTGTGTCTGGCACAGAGGGCACGGCTTGCCTCTGCTATGCCAGGGCAGTGCCAAGCAGTGGGGTCTGACCTCTCGCTGTGCGGTGAGTCCCGCAGAGAATCCACCGAGTCACGATACTGCGTCATGGGCCTCCGTGAGTCCTCGATGCAGAAGGGGGCCCCACGGCGAGCCCGTGCCTCCACGCACGCAGGGCTGTTGCATTTACTGGTTCCCACTGAGGACAACATTATCCCAGACTGGGAATCTGAAGTCAGGCTCTCTGTCCGCTCCAAGCTCCAGGTGTGGCTTTCATGTCTGTGGACCAAACCGCATATGGACAGTGAGCAAGGAATCTCCAAAGAGCCGTGCGCAGGCACGGCCGCGCTGCACTTCCGTCCCCTTTCTCTCTCCCACTAGGACACCTCTGGCCAGGGATGCCCAACTTCCCAGCCCTGCCTTTCATTTGCCTTTCTTTGCTACTTCTTGGAGATACGATTAGAAGCTAAAGAAAGGCAAACCAGTGCATACCAGGTATTTATCACACCACCTCCTGGCAGCTGGGGACAGGATGGGACAGCCTCTGGAGGGAGGCCAGGGCAATCCTGCTTTGTGTTTGCAAAGCGTTCTGGATGTGCAGCAATGCACTGGCTGTGCCAAGGCAAGTCCGCAAAGGATCTTCAAATGTGCCATCTGCATTGACAAGTGACATCCCCTTCAGAAAAGCTACCAGAAAGGAGCCAGAAAAAAATTTTCAAAATTACTTCACCATCAGCAGAGAAAAGCATTCCAAAGGTAGATCTAGATGTTCAGTTTCCACTGGTTTATAAAAGATGTTGGCAGCAAAACATTTTAAGGTGCTAGACAAAAACTATGATGTGTTGGCTAGACCTTGCTGAGCACTTGGAGACCCACCTGCCCTAGTCTCGGTGCAAAGAGGACATCCCACAAGGACTCACCGGGGACACACAGGGCCATAAGCCAGGTCACCCGCACCACGGCCGCCAGGCTGAGCCCTCTCCATCGCAGAAATATGTGATCCATGAGAGCAACAGCTCTGAACTCCCAAACTGCACCAGGTGGAGCCATGCCGGCAGAGGATTTTGGGTGGGGGTTTGCAGAGGAGAGCAGGCCTCATTAAGACTTCCCAGAGACTTGTTAATTATTGATGGCTCCAGACACATGCTCAGCTGCAACCACCACAGTCATTTATAACTTCAAACGGTGTCCTCGTTAGAGGCACTGATCAAGTGAAATGGAGCCTGATTATGGCAGCAGTTTGCCTCTGGCGTGGCTTCAAGAAACACCTGCTCGCTGCACTTGACTCAGGAAGATTAGGTGGCAGGTAGCCAGGGCCAGAGGCTATGCAAGGTAGGTGCCTCCCCACAGCTATTGCATTGATGCTGCCCTCCAGACACACCTTTGCGTCTTCAGGAGGTGCCCAGAGATGGCCCCAGGGTCCCAGGACTTTGAAGTGAGCATGGAAGGCCAGAAAGGTGCTCCTGCAGGCACAGGAGCTTCTGTGCATCTGGCTCAAGCTTGCACACGCGTAGCCAGGGTTGGGCTGCAGTTTGTGAATTCAGAAAAAAAACCTGGAAAACACACTGTCTAGCTCACCAGGGGTAGGATTTCCGGGGACAAAGGCAGTCATTTCCAGCCCAGCAAGTCATTCTTGGCTCCCTCTCTACTTGGAGGTCTAGACAGAGGAGTCAGGGGAGGAATTCCCCTGAAAACATAAGTTCAATATCTGAAGTTGATCTAATGATATCTGAGTACAGTGAGATTACTTGCTCATCCCTGATGAATGCCTGAACCCTGAAGAAACCTGCCAGGGACCATCTTTGAGCTTTAGCTGAAAGGATTCATTGCTTCCCGGATGAGTGGAGACAAACACATCGGGCTAATGAAGTAAATAACACAGGACATCTTTTGCTTTATAAAGTCAATGCAATGTGATCTGTACGTCATTGACAGGTTGTAGATATGCCCTCCCTGCACCTCGCAGTCACTTTTCAAAGGCAAGTGCTCTCCTAGGGAAACACCGTGACTTACTGGAAGAAGCACAAGAGCTATGTAAGAGGAAGAACCTAAACATCCAAACTTGAAACAGCACAGGACTTTCTCTAGAGTATTTGAAGGACTTTTCTGGACATCATAAAAATAGGGAAGTTCCATCTGCAATTTAAATGCTCTCAAAAACCGTGAGAACTTCAGCTTCCAAGCCATGCTGCTCATCCCCCGTTGGCTATTTTGAAATGTAAAAAAAAAAAAATTACATCTCATCCTGTGTAGCAAGAATGATTGGTACTTTCCTGCTAGCCCCAGTTTTCCTGAAAGCTTCAGAAAGACTTCCAGTGAAAGAGGTGCCACCACCTCAGAGGCTGAGATTCTAACACAACTTTCTGGACTATGATAAATTGCTCAGGAGTGTTTTTTCTGCTGAAAAACTGTGACTGCCAAGTCAGATCCTAACTTTGAGGAACTGGCCAAAACATTCTGTGGTATTTTGTGTACTTTGCTTTCCAGAAAGGAAATACATTCTAAATATATCAAGCATGAAACAAATAATCTGTGTGTGCTTAATGAACTATTGCAGGTGTCCAGTGTGGTTGCAAGCACAACTTGCAAAACCTTTCCTAGATGTATCCTCCCATTTGTGTCTCCGCAAAGCATGAAAGCACAACTTCATTTCCTCCTAGAGTCCAGCTAGGTCAGCACTGCACGTTCCCGCTGGCACCGTGCTGGGGGTTCCTGCTGGCACCTTGCTGCAGGTCAAGGATCACACCTTTCCACACCTCTCACTAACGAGCTGTGCCAGCAAAGATCTGCAGTGTCGACATGGCCTGTACGCCAGTGTGGTGACAAACATCGAGTAAACACAGAAAGGGAGGCAAAAGGAAAACATTTAACTGGCTTTGAATCTCACGGCGTCCTAAGGCATACAGCAGGAGAAAGTTCAGGGGAAAATGATATACATCACCTCTGGCTGGACGTTGGAGTGGCTGTGGAGCAGTGATGAGATGGGGAGCAGGAGTGACTTCCCGAAAAGGTTGTCTCTGTTTCCCTTCGGATCACATGCTCGGTGGCAGAAACATTCTTAGAAATATACTGTAAAATATGAAGAATCACACAGATCAGCCACCAGCTTGCCAACGCTGCCACAGCAAAATTCTGAACCACGCTGGCTCGATTATTTCTGGTGAAATCAGATGAGGACTGAATGAACCCGGCAGCTCCGCACCCCAGGGAAGGAGAGAAGGAGGCTGGAGGCTCTTCTCTGCCTCTGCACTTGGGACACCGGCACAGCGCCATGGCACGGAGCCTGCAGAAGGGTGTGAAGAGCCAAGGGGTTCCCCAGAGGACACTGGCACCACGTGAAGCTACTGAGCAGAAATCCATCTCTGCTCACAGGAGGTTACAGACCTGACAGAGTAACAGCAAAAAGACAACCACACGAGATCTGCCAGAGATATGAGTCCTACAGAAAATCAGGTGTAATCCAGATCTTTATGCTGAGGTATTCATTCATCTAACAAGAAGTACTGCTTTTCACAGGGACACTAACCTCTCTGGGGGAGTCAGTACTTTGGGGCTAGAGGGCTGTGGTTCTTAGATATTCCCTTTCCCTCTTCCTTCATGGCTGGGATTCAACCTAGCTAAATATTAACATCCAAAGGGTGACCCAGCAGAGCTTGTAACTGATTCATTGTACTCATTTCAATCAGTACTTTTTGTTTCGCTCTGCCTCCCCCCTCCCTTTTCCTGATCCCTCTCAATGCCTGGGTCCAGCAAGGCACTTAAGCACGTTGATGGTCTGATGGAGTTCATGGAGTTTGATGGGAATCTCATGTGACTGAAGTCATGAGAGTGGCTGAGCAGCCCTTCTGGATCCGGTCCTACATTCTTAGATTGTTCACATTGGCGTGACACTGTATCCCACCAGGACATCCCACCTTGCCCAGGACGCAAGTCTTGGTGTGGGCAGGTGGGCTAATACAGTGCTGAGCAGATCACCACAACATGGTTCAGCATGACATGGTCACCACGGTGGCTCCGATCACCACCACGCCGATCACATTTGTCAAGCTGCAAAGTGGGGTTTGATGGGAAAGCTTAACAAACAGGAAACATCGGGAACATCTCTCTTAGAAGAGAACAGGATCACGCTTAATTCATCAAAACAAGCCTGTCCCAAGGGTCCTAATCTCATCCTGTGCTTCAAAGTAAAATCAGATTTCACTTCAGATGTTGTTTTTGGAAACGTTTCTATGCAGAATCTCATCTTTTTTGTTCAAGTTTGTTAGTGTTTTGCTCCTCATGCACATGCACACAGGTGTGTAAGCATACACATCCATGTCAAATCCTTGGCAGAAAATAGGGACTTGATAACATGCAGGGAGATAGAGACAAAAGATCTTACATCGGCCATTTGGATTTCCTCAGGATCCAAACGTGGATGGCTTGGCCCGTTCGCAAGGCTCCTGTTCTGATGGGCAGGGCACATGTTCTGCCGTAAATGATTATGCATTTGTTTTCTTTGTTTCCTTTAAAACAGAAAGCAAAAAAAATCTATTAGGAAGACTTATCTCATGGGCTTTCTGCCCCCAGGGACACCTGGGGCACGCAGATGATCGAGAAGGCAAGTCTCGGGCATACTTGATGTTTCAATGGTGTTTGTGGAAAGCTGTAAACAGGAAGAAACAAGGCATTGAACATATGACACTGTCTGCTGCTTTTTCAAAAAAAGGTGAACGTTTCTCACCATGGCGAATTTGGGAAGCTGGGTCCAGGGTGCCCTCTTGCAGACAAAGCCCAGCACAGTGCAGTGGAGCCAGGGGGACCACGGCGCTGGGAACGGGGGAGAAAAGTGGGAAGAAGGAAAAAGGGGAAACAGGTGCTGGCTTGGCCGTGGTGACAAGGCACTTGACCTGTCCTGGATTAAGCACAAAGTGGCAAAGCCTACCCGTGCCCCTGGGCCCACTCCACAAGACCCCCTGTGTCCTGGAGCACCCTGAGCTAAGACGAGGTGCAGCATAAATAGGGAAAAGGTGCTGTCCGGGCAGGGAAGGCTTGCCATAAAAGACATCCCCAAGCCTCTTGTTCCATCGGGATTGCTCTGAAGTCCCTGAAATGTACATGGCTGAGCCCACAGCTCCTGCACAGCAGCCCAGTGTGCTTCTGCTGTCAGGAGAGGAGCTGCTGGCTTGGGGGCAGCTTTTCCCAATGGGTCAAATGATGCTGATTCAGCAGTTAAGCAAACGGTCCCAGGAAAACATCCTGCTCAGGCACAGCCTGGTAGATGGCTTCACTGGCCTCCTTCGGGACACCTTCCAAGGAATGCCACAGAACAGCATCTACTTAAAATAGTATTTGGGTGAAGAGTGTGAAAGTGTGAAGCAGGAACACTGCCACTCAGTAACCTCTGCCCAGTTATTGTCTGGTAACCACCGATACTCACTTGGTTTTACAGTAAGCTACCACACAGACGATGCCCACCACAAGCAAGGCAACACAGATCCCTGTGATGGTTAAAACTCTCTTCTGGTAGAGCTCTTCTGCTTCTGCAAATGGAGAGAAAGAAGCCAGTTACAAATGGGCTCCAGCACCAGGGATGCGTCTGGCTGCACAAGAACCAGCACTGCGTGTGGGTAAGATGGAGGACAGGGCTCGGACAGACCTCCTACCAATCCACTGCCCGTCTCTCATAGCTGCCCCAAACCTGAGACAAGCTGGCCCAACCTTGCTCACCCCTCAAGAGACCTTCACTCCTTTTGTCTCTCTGCACCTTTGCCCTCTCTTGCTCAGTGGCTCACCCCTTCCGCGCTCAAATGTGCTCCTCACTTTCTCTTCTTCTCCCGCAGCATAACTAGGTGACTAATCTCAAAAAGCCCCATGACTGTCCTCTCCCTTCCAGCAGATCCCCCCTTCTCAATAACTTAGTAGCCTACCAAGGAAGTCCCCAAGCATCCCCCACTCACCACGTACACGCATGCCCTGTGATGCTCTCATCACAGGCTCTGCTCTGACGGACTCAGAATGCCTTTTCCTTGCAGCGGCTGCATGCCCTGGAGCTCAGCGGTGTGCTAGAAACCACCGAGCAACAGTTCCCAAAGCATGTAGGTGCTGAAAGGGACATCCTAAAACAGTCAAAAAGCAGAATAAGGATGGAAAAGTGATAGCGCGTTAGACAAAGAAAAGAGAATGGAGTAATTAAAATACAGTAACCAATTACAGTTATGGATTTTTAATGAAACCCTAGGAAGTGATTAATTCCATTGCACCAAGTAACTCAGATGCACACGCAAAACCCAAGCAGCGTGCTGCTGCTTCTCTCAAACATTAACATTTCTCATGGACTACCTTTCAAACCAGAAAAGTCCGTCACTTGCATCAAAACCCAGACCATGCTGGAAGTGAGGTAATTCATTCACATTAATCAAAGCTCCAAGGAAATGCTAGGATGACACTTGCAGTGTAACTGAACTACACCTCAGCAGCAATCGCACAGCAAGGACACGTCTTCCTCTCTGGCACCAGAGCAGATGCTCTTCTCCACGACATCCAGCAATCTCCACTAAGATCAGCAGAGGCAGTTTGGTTATCCAGCTGGATGACTGAGAGGAGGATTCAGCGCACAGCTGCCATCAGCATTTTAGTTCAGCATCTATGAATGATGCCCTGGTGCCCCCATACTATGTGTTAATGTTAAAGTTACTGGGATTTGTGTCTTCTTCAATATTCATTGTAATATTTTTTCATATAGATTAGGCAATAAAACTCACGCCATGGTTGCTGTGCCTGGCATGGTTTACCATGCCATGCTAATTACTTTGAATGGACCATATGCTACCCCCAGCGCTACCAAACAATGAAATGCAAAACCAGAAGAGAAACAGGTCATTTCCCAGAAACCCCTGGGACTAGACTTTAGGAAAAAAACAAGGCAGAAGCAATGAAACATTCCAGATAACTGAATATTTAGACCAATTGCAGCTTGCCATTTTAGGATGGAAAAAGCATTTTTGGAAAGAAAAAAATAGTGCTAAGAAAAATGCTTATCTCTTTCTGATTCTCAAAGTGGGAATGAAGAAAGATTTGCTAAACAAGGGCTGAGAATGACAGCCCTGGCCTGAAGATGCAGAACATAATCAGCAGAGCTTGCTTCGTGCCTCTGCTGCAAAGCTACAGTTTAAAGAAATAGGTTTCCATCCATTTTGTTTGTACGCTGGCCTTGGGCTTCATGAGGCACTCAGGTGTTTCCATCTTGTCCCACCATTTACTAGAGAGGTGGGAAGCCAGAGCTATCTCACGGTGGTGTGGACCAGGAACAACAGGTCATGGGTCTCACTTGGGCTGAAGGTTACTGAGCTGCAGCAGCTTCACCCCATGAGCCAGAGCCTGTACGACCTGGGACCTGCTCGTAGAGGGAGGGTTTGGGTGCTGGCTGACCTTATACTCCTCGTGTTTTACTACAAGGAACCAGGTGGAGCTGGCATGGGGAAAGAACTCACTCTGAGATGAAACACCTCCTTCAGCGATGTGTTTCCCTTGCACGGATACCCTATTCCAGGCATCAGCAACCATGGCAGACAAGTTTTCTTGCTTCTGCACACCTCTGGGACCTGGATTCCAGCTATACAGCTCTTTCCTTCACACAGAGTTTCAGATATTTTATCAGAATCAGGAAAACCAGCTAGGATCATGTCCTGGTTACGGATGGCACTGGGCAAGAATTTTGCTCCTACCCAGAAAAAACTCTTTTTACCAAAAAAAAAAAAAAAAAAAAAAAAAAAAGGCTGGGCAGGAGGTCAGTTTTCACCATGGAGCCATCCATCAAGCCATTTTTTTTTCAAATAGTCTTTACCAGCTATGTTTTTTTGCTACAAAGACTGTTTTTCCAGGCATAAATCGTCTTTGAATCATGGCAAGGGAGAAAGAAATATGTTTTGTTTTGGTTTGGTTTTTTTACCTATTACCTACATGAAAAATTTTTTCTCCCAAGGCTCAAATCACAGCCTTTGTTTTGGTAATCATGTCAGTGTGGGACTCTGGCATGTCTGACTGTCCTGAACCTTCACCTGAATTGCATGGGGAATGTTTCAGTTCATCAGAAATGCAGATTTAGCCTCTCTGTCTTGAGCTGACAGCTCTGCTATGTGAAGCAGTGAAGTGTGAGGCTGTGCGTCACTGCTGCAAAACTAAAAATGAAATGACCAGCTGATAGTAATTTACCTTGGCTCCTAACATCTCATTAAAGTTGATGCTCAATAACACAGTATCTTCATGTTGCACAAAACCATCTCAACAGTGACAGAAAGAAAATAAGGGAATGCACACTACAATTTTGTATTTGAGAAGGTAAGATCCTGGAGCAGGACTTGTCCATTTGTGTCTCTATGCTCTACAAACACCACGTCTTCATCAGCAGCATCGTCACTCTACAGCAGCAAACACTATGAACAAACCATGTGGTGCCACACAATGCCGACAGAATCACAGTCCAGCCATGGGTGTCACAGCAACACATGAAAGTGAGAGACGAATGACAGAGAAGAGACGACTGCAGACTGGGAACAGGATGTGTGCGGTTCTGTGATGACATTGAGAATGGATGAGGAAAAGGACAAAAGGTCAACAAAAAAGGGATGTCAAAAATCCTCAATTTTAAAGTTATTTAAGTGTATTAGCATTAGCAGCACCACTTTCTCTGAAACACCTGACCACAAAATGCACGCGTTTTCTGCAGCAGGGAAGAACTTTTCGGGGATACACACCAATCCCAGTGGATCAGGCATGCAAAACCGAGAGGAAACAAGTTTCTCCAGCTTCAGTTAGTGCATGTCCCTCCACCTCAGGGACCTGAGAAGACAATTTAGGATCCAGAAGTGAAAGACTGGTGTCCCCATACCTCTAGTAAATGGAATTGAAGCGTCTTCATGTGAAGATCTGCTCTGGCTGACATTGCCGGGTCAAAGTTTTAAAGATAACTCTCTCTGCTCTCATCTGACCAAGCCCTCCCTGCAGCTGGCCTGTACTCTCAAGGGAAACTTACCCTTAAGGATTTGATTTCCCAGGTGCTTACTCAGGAGATACTTGATATATTTCTAAAAACAGACTGAGGAGAATGGAAGAAAAATAATATGATTATGAGCAACTGGGCAAGAGCAGGTAACTGCTCAAAGGGCTTATTTTTAAAAGCATTTAAGTTACTGCAGTGTTTTTCCAAACTTTAGCTTGCCACCATACTCAGCATTACACCCTCCACTCTCATGGGAGACGACTGACTTCCCTAGGCTCACTGTTTTCTAGACTAACTCATCTCATGCCACCTTTCTTGGAACAATTTCCTCCCAGGCAAGAAGCAGAATAAGCCACTAACCTTCGGGAGGAGGAAAGGCACAGCTTGTCCTGACCCTTCGTAGGATCCAGCGGAGGTTAGTGCGTCTAGGATGGCAATTTCTATAAAAGCCCTGATCTTCCTAAAACTTGCCCTCCCGTTCCTGGAATGCCTGCCCGTTCCCAAGTGGTGCCTGCTGGCAACCTTTTGGATGGACACAAACTCCAGCTTGTCAGCTAAGTACATAAAAAGCATGTTGAATGAGGAGACGTATGGCAATTTAACATCCCAGTCACGCCACACACACCAGGCTGCTGCTTGAAACAAAGAAAAAAGTGCTGCTAAAAATACACATGCATTTTTATAGGTTTACATTTAGATTTTGTGTTTTGCTTTGTTTTGTTTTGGTTTGTTTTTTTTTCAATCCAAACATCTATCTCAGTGCCAGGGAACAGAACAGAACAGCTGATTTTTTAATCATCCCATTAAAGCCATAAATATAATGTGGGCAGCTCTTAATGGCTTCTGATTAATAAATGAATGGTTGTTCCATACCCTTTAATTCAAATCCAAGATGCTCTGCCAATGCAGAAAGAAGACAAGGAAGAGAAAGAGAAAAAGAAAAACAGGTCTGTCAGAGATCTCTAATATACAAACACACACACTGTGCAGTTACAGCAGGTTAGCTTTTCTGTAGGCTCAGCAGCAGTTACACAGAAGACAGTGTATGCCTCAGAGCATTTCAAATTCCCACCAGAGCTTATATCTTATGTAAAGAAAGACCCAAATAAATTGCAGTGGAAGTTAATTATGAATTCTTTTAGTTAATTATGAATTCTTTTGGGATGAGCCATGTTTGTTAGTACCTGATATGGAATTCACAGTTTAGGCAGGAAAAAAAAAAAAGAAAAAAGAAGAAAGAAAAAAAAAAAAAGGTACACTTGTTCTGAAACAAATCCTGACAGGTCAAAACACATAGAGACTGCATGAACCTGGTAAAAAACATTCATTCACTTTCTACAGGCAAAATATGCCCTGCGTGGTTTCACATGCCCCTCTCTGCCCGGTGGCCTGTGCACCACAGAGCGCGGGGCAGACAGTGGTGCAGGCACGTGCATGGGGCCCTGACGTCTGCCAGCATGGTTCTGCTGCTCGCGACCTCAGGTCTGGCCTCGGACATGCAGCATCTCCTGGCAGCATTGCCCGTAAATCACCTGACAGTGTGTCGATTGTGCGAGCACTGTTGTTGGAGGTACAGACCTGCAGTTGAACCACCGATGCTGCAAGTGATTAGCTGCCCAGGCAAGGCAACGAATCCCTTGCGGATCTAAAAGTACAAATTGCACTGAAAGTTTCCCTCAAGTCTGTGATCTTCCAAATTTCACTTCTGCTATGATTCTGCATTGTTTTAGAAACAACAAGCATGCTGAAAAAAGCACAAATTGGAGCATCTGCTTTCACATTCATATTCATTACAAGTAAGATTGCAGTTCATCTTGCAGAGATAGTGCTAAGCAAAGTAGTTTACCTAATGAATCAAGAACGCAATTATCCAGAAGAGGTATCCTGAATTTTAGTAACTTTCCTGGTACAAGCCTCACCTAAAGACAGGTTTTTTACATAAACATTAAAGTTCTCCATGCTTATCATTGTACACAAAAGTGAGCGCTGCTGTTCCCAATCACCATACACACAAGATGATTCGCAGCTTGGAGATGTCCAAATTTATTTACTGTATTTTCCATAGGAACTTCTTTTTGCTGCACAGAAATATTGGCTTTCTTTTGCAATGCTGTTCAAAATGTAGGCAGGGGAAATTAGCACTAATCATTATGGAACATGTAAACACGTTTTCTAAAGCAGGTTCTTCTCTTCAAATCAACGTTGATGCTTGGGGTTTTTTTGAGGGGTGGCAGGAGTTGGGTGGTGTTGGGTGGTTTTTTAAGTTTGTATAATTTAAAGCTGCTCTCTGCTTAACATCTCGTATTTGTGCAAAAAGAACGGCAAACTCTACCATGCATTTCAGTCATTTTGTACAAGTTGCAGTGACATGGACACAATGTGGTGGGCAGCAGAGAACTGGACAGAATACATTCATCCTAAACCTCTTGGTTATCACACCAAGTCTTGACTTTCCTAAGGCATGCTACCATTACACACATTGTTTCATCTGACACTATGACAAATGCTTGTAGAAATACATTAAATTTCATCTATGCACCTGCGCTATTGATCCATTTGATAGCTGCATACAGCCTATACTGCCACATTTCCTCCTTGTTCCACGATTTACTGCAACATCTACAGCTACAAATGGATGCAATTCAAAACACTTCCATGTTTTTTTGCAAACTCAGAAATGCCTGTGCAAACAGAGGTGGTAGGCAGGACCTGAGGAACTTTAGCCTTCCCACTCTCCCTCTCACACCAGAACTGCAGTTTCTTTTGGCTCCTCAGCGCCATGAAGCAGATACAGCCAGCGGGCTCAGTGGATCTTAGCTGCAGGTTTCCTGAGCAGGAGAGAAACCATGCAACCATGCAGCAGCTGGAAAGTACGTGCCTGCCTATCCCTACAAACCCACCAGCAGTTTTGCAGATAGAGGAAGCCTTACCCCAGCCTGTGCTACTGCATCTGATGTCCATCGTTACTCAGCACCTCTCTATCACCATTTCAGGCTACAGACATTGCTTCTGCATCATCACCCATAACTGAACACATCAAATAGGGAGCCACCCTCCCCTTCCCCTGCCCAAGACTTCCTCCCAGCCTGGGCAGGGATTGCCTGCTGTGCTGGGACAGTGAAGGAGGAGATACCTCTAGAATAGGCTGGGATTTGGAGGGTTTGTCTCTTCTCTAAAGAAGAGACTGTTCAAAATTATTCCATGTTACAATCCAGAGGCTAACGAGATTATCCCAGCTGTGGGAAAAACGTTACTTCAAAATGTAATCACTCTTCATTTAGCAGAGGGGTATCATCTTCACAAACATAGTGTGTGCCTATTTCATATCAACAATATGCCGCTTGGTAGCAAACATATTTGAGAAATCAAAACTTCTCCTAGAGACAACAATTTATTTTGGGCTGGAGCAAAAGATATTTCTGACTGTGTACCATGTTTGAAAGAAGTCTCCTTTGCTTTTTTAAGAGGTTGATCAAGAAAAGTAATACATCTCTAAAAGCATGGGGTTATATCTACTGCTAGGTGGAGAAGATGCTCAGCATGACATGTAGCACATGCACTGTGTCCTGCAACAGTTCAGTCAACCTGCATTTTACTCACCTTCCCAGTTAGACTGGCAGTCCAGCAGACTTGGCTGCTGGGGATGCCTAGAACCCTTTGGGCAACAGTCTCCTCTGCAGCCATTAACTACACAGAGGGAAGCATGAGGTCCAGGTAAGTCCTCCAGCTCCTTAGGATGGTGATTGACTCCACGCTGATAGCGGTGGTTGCAATGGGGAGGTGTATTGTATCCCAGGCTTGTGGCAGAGGGAGCCTTTGGGACAACTAAAATTAAATGGATGAATCCCATCTGTAGACACAAACTGATACATGCCAGGAGTGCTGACAGAGTGTGGCAGTTCTTTCCAACTCCATTGGAAACAATACATCCAGAGGCTACTAGATTATGAGATGGTTGCTCTAGGCTGAGGAAATGGGCATATTATTTTTCTCACATCATCAACCTACTGTCTGAACTCCACACATGCTCCCCGGTCATGGTAAGGAGCACTCAGGACCTGAGCACCCTGGACTGCTGTGAGACTCTCCAAACTATTTGAAGTGGGGACATGCTTTTTGGA